GTTAAGGATTGTTAAGAATGGTTATTAATTTATTCCCAGATGCTCTTCGAATTTTTATTTCAAGGTAAGAAATGGCTAGTTGAAGTTGCATCGACTTCCAAGGTGAAGTTTCAACGGAACAACTCTAGCTCTGTTGTAGTTTCGTGATGTAAAATAAAACATATATAATTATTTGGGTTTTCAGCCCACAAACTACGGGACATGATCCCTATGAATTACGGTCAATGTTTGTCCTGTCTCAGCTGATTGTGTTAATTGTGTTGGGACCAACGCCTGTTCTAAACTCAGTATGGAAAAACAAACGGGGATCGATATTCCAAACAAATTATTGGGACATGGTCGACAGACATTCCGAATAATCAAAATTATTAATAAAAGACGAGATTTTTCTAGATATTTACAAACATACTGTCATGACAAACATATGTACAATTCACAAATACACAAAGAGGCGTAAATTAGGTTTTATTTTAGGCTTAGAAATATTTTCTGTCACTCAGTCCATGCATGGAACTGCCATTTAGCTTCATGGTCCTTCAGTTTGTATTGCCTTGGGGGAAAACAACAATAATTATACAAAACGTAAACATATTGAGAAGACTCAACAATCAGGAAAGAAAACCCAGACAACCATGTCAGAATATTGTTTAAACTATTTGAACTTTTGACGGCTGTCAACCTCAGAAATTTATTGTTAGTCCGAATTTTAAGTGAGCGGGTTTGCACAGTCAAAAATAAAGTGGAAATTGTCCGGGCGAATTCAACAAGCAGTCGCAAAAGCGAGCGAAAAAAAGTGATTGAAAAGCAGAAGCGAGCGAGAGGTTGGGCGAAATGAGTACTGTACTCTAGTAGACTATTCAACACCGTCCTGCTCATGGTTCCCTTGTGACCATGGCCAACATTTCCTTTTTAATGTAGGAAAAACAACTAGCGCTGACTTGGAGCTAATTGATTATAACAAATTCGATAATGGTACACTCTCCATAGACTGAAAGTAATGCAAGCACATCTGTACTTGAAGACATGTATATTCTGTAAGTAAATATATGCTGTCATGATGGCCCAGCCTGTGTTTAGAAACTGATTGAATAAATTAATTGTGCGGTACGCCACTTAGTTAAAGTTAGCACCCACTTTCAATAAACTGCTAAGGTTTGTCACCTTTTAAGGAACAACCAACCAATTTTTCACGATGTAACAGTCCACGAAGATCAGATACTTGTATATTTACAAGTATGAACAAAATGTTAGACATTTAGTCATTAATTAGCTGTTTACATGTATCTGTGTCAAAGAGTTTGAGTTTTTACGGAAACTAATTTTTAACCATCATAACTATTGAAGAAGTCCTCTTTTAACATTTTTCTCTATGCTAACGATATACAAATTACACAATCTATTCACCACAAAATGGGCTAAAATATGATGTCTCATGGACATTTATATGAGCCCTTGACATTGAGTTACGGCCTTGAGAACATGGAGACGTTCATAAAATTTAGTCCATAAAGTTCAACGGACATTATCTCCAGAAATATGGGGCACATAAAAGTTCTGAGACGCAAAGATCGTTATCTTATAAAGCAACAGTGAAAAGATCAGAAACATAGAAAAAAGGAACACCGAGAAACGGCCTATCCTGCAAAAAAATTTGATGTTTAGGGGGTTCACGGGAACGATCGTAACTTAATCCCCTGAGAAAATATCAAGACGAAACATACATAATCATATTCTGCTATATCTCAGCTTTTTGAAAACATATACATTGCCATAACTGCATGCTCAGTAACTGGTGAGGAAAGTTCTAATCTCAATTAAACTATAACTTGTGTTTCCCCTCTCGCTACCTTAACTCAGGCACTTTTGCCTACCGCCCTTGCTCCACTATGGTCTATTATTTATCAACTTTATATCTTTATAGTTCATAAAGCAAGGTGCATTTCACATATTGTAGAACACCTAATATGTTGAGTTAATGCACAGCTACATGTATTTACAAGATTCTGTCTGACTGGCTACTCAACCCTAACACCTAACAGTTAGACCAATCAGAGGGTAGCTAATTATTTTTTTCAACATATCAAATTCAAGCTTGGAATTTCAATCACAGGCAAATCAAAGAGTCACACTGTTTTTATGCTGTATCTTTCAAATTACCAACTTGTTTTAGCCACTTGGCTAACATCAGCTGAATCATATGGGAAATGCTGGTATTCTCTTGGATTGATGCAGCAGGGGGAATGCACACAAATTGTGTAAATGCTTTCAAGTCAACAATACAATTCTCCACAGAGTAGAGCTCATTACAATGAAACTTTTTAAAATAAATTTTTGGTTTGAAATTCATTGGCATCAATAGGGTGATCAAAGGGAGAAATAACTTTCTATAGTAAAATCTAAAAATCACTGGCAATGGTGATCGGACATGGATGCTTAAAATTGGTTGATTAATTGATCAAAAATGAAATGATTCATAACTCACTTTTCAGTCAAGGCTTTAATGTAAGACAGAGCTATCGTGTACTGTGCATCATTGATCAGTCGTTTACAGTACTTGGGTTTAAGATGCACAAAGTCATTGTAGTAGTCTTCCATTGTTATGCATATAGTGTCCACTGCATTTGATGGTTTTAACTGGTGCCTATGAGAAATGAAAAAAATTCACTAACCACCCATGTTATAAACTGAATGGATAGTCAAATAAGGTTAATCTGTTGATCACCTATACGGAATATTTAGAAAATGCCGGGTGAGTTATTCGAGCAGAACTGACGTAACCACAGAATGTTGAAACTAAAGATAGTATTACACGCCAAACCAGCTCAGTCTTCAATAGTATTAGGTAATCAATTTCTGAAAACGACTTGACCATATTTCTATAGTTAGTGAACTAAAAAACCCAAATGACCATGCCCATTGACTGGAGCAATGTGTTTGTATTTAATTTATTTTGTAATTTTAAATGAACCCTAATTTTCCAGGCAACAGACAAAATTCAATGGACGAGAAAAGAGGGAACTGGTGGTGAAAAGAGTGTACTGGTGGTGAAAAGAGGGAACTGGTGATGAAAAGAGGGCACTGGCGATGAAAAGAGGGCAGTGACGATGAAAAAAGGGAACTGGTAATGAAAAGAGGGAACTGGTGGTGAAAAGAGGGCACTGACGATGAAAAGGGGCACTGATCAATGAAAAAAGGGAACTGGTAATGAAAAGAGGGAACTGGTGGTGAAAAGAGGGAACTGATAATGAAAAGAGGGCACTGACGATGAAAAAAAGGAACTGGTGATGAAAAAAAGGAACTGGTGATGAAAAGAGGGAACTGGTGATGAAAAGAGGGAACTGGTGATGAAAAGAGGGCACTGGCGATGAAAAGAGGGCACTGACGATGAAAAAAGGGAACTGGTAATGAAAAGAGGGAACTGGTGGTGAAAAGAGGGAACTGGTGGTGAAAAGAGGGCACTGGCGATGAAAAGAGGGCACTGGCGATGAAAAGAGGGCACTGACGATGAAAAAAGGGAACTGGTGATGAAAAGAGGGAACTGGTGATGAAAAGAGGGAACTGGTGGTGAAAAGAGGGAACTGGTGGTGAAAAGAGGGAACTGGTGGTGAAAAGAGGGAACTGGTGGTGAAAAGAGGGAACTGGTGGTGAAAAGAGTGCACTGGTGGTGAAAAGAGGGAACTGGTGGTGAAAAGAGGGAACTGGTGGTGAAAAGAAGGAACTGGTGGTGAAAAGAAGGAACTGGTGGTGAAAAGAGGGAACTGGTGGTGAAAAGAGGGGACTGGTGGTGAAAAGAGGGAACTGGTGGTGAAAAGTGCACTGGTGGTGAAAAGAGTGCACTGGTGGTGAAAAGAGGGGACTGGTGGTGAAAAGAGGGGACTGGTGGTGAAAAGAGGGATCTGGTGATGAAACAAGTGTACTGGTGGTGAAAAGAGTGCACTGGTGGTGAAAAGAGAGGATTGGTGGTGAAAAGAGGGAACTGGTGATGAAAAGAGGGAACTGGTGATGAAAAGAGGGAACTGGTGATGAAAAGAGGGAACTGGTGGTAAAACGAGGAAACTGGTGATGAAAAGAGTGAACTGGTGATGAAAAGAGGGAACTGGTGATGAAAAAGTGCACTGGTGGTAAAACGAGGAAACTGGTGATGAAAAGAGTGAAATGGTGATGAAAAGAGGGAACTGGTGATGAAAAAGTGCACTGGTGGTAAAACGAGGAAACTGGTGATGAAAAGAGTGAACTGGTGATGAAAAGAGGGAACTGGTGATGTAAAAGTGCACTGGTGGTAAAACGAGGAAACTGGTGATGAAAAGAGGGAACTGGTGATGAAAAAGTGCACTGGTGGTAAAACGAGGAAACTGGTGATGAAAAGGGGGAACTGGTGATGAAAAGGGGGGAACTGGTGATGAAAAGGGGGAACTGATGATGAAAAGGGGGAACTGGTGATGAAAAGGGGGAACTGGTGATGAAAAGGGGGAACTGGTGATGAAAAGGGGGAACTGGTGATGAAAAGAGGGAACTGGTGATGAAAAAAGTGTACTGGTGGTAAAACAAGGGAACTGGTGGTAAAAGATAGAACCGGTGATGGAAAGAGGGAACTGGTGGTGAAAAGAGGGGACTGGTGGTGGAAAGAGGGAACTGGTGGTGAAAAGAGGGGACTGGTGGTGGAAAGAGGGAACTGGTGGTGAAAAGAGGGGACTGGTGGTGAAAAGAGGGAACTGGTGGTGAAAAGAGGGAACTGGTGGTGAAAAGAGGGAACTGGTGGTGAAAAGACGGAACTGGAGATGAAAAGAGGGAACTGGTGGTGAAAAAAGTTTAAGATTTATATCTGATCAATGACAATATACAAATTAATTTTAGTTTTAAAAGAAATGAAAAAACAAATTGGGCATTTTCCAAAGAATTTATTATTCCAAAATCTTTGCATCAATTTCAATAGCATGGATCCACAAATTTAACGAAGATCATATTTAAATTTCCTTTTTGCTAGAGAAATCCTACTGAAATTGCTCAAATTCACAGCAAGGAATATTCTGGATTTCACAAAAGTTGCTAACCGTGTTATAGAATCCTAAAGAAATTTTACAGTTTAATGAGATTGTTAGACTTACCATGTCCTTGTTAGTATTTGTTGAAGGTGAGACTCTAAATCTAGAAATACTTCATCCAATAACAAACGATAGCTATACAAAAATAGAACATTGCTTTTAATTAAGTTTGTTTACCAGTATTTAATGCAGTCTCTTTACCAGGATTTAATCCGGTCTGTTTACCAGTGTTTAATCAAGTCGTTTTACCAGTATTTAATCAAGTCAGTTTACCAGTATTTAATCAAGTCTGTTTACCAGTATTTAAT